AAATAATGATTATTAATTAAGTTGAATGGTAAAACTCATAGTTAATCATTTTATTGTGAGCGAATGAATAAGATTCAAAAATAATGATTGTTTTGTAATTTTTATAATAACACTTATAATGATTTCAGTCCCGAATTAAAAGTTTGTAATAACACATCGATGCCTTCGCTGCTTCTTCTTTTCAGTATATTCTAAATGTGTTGTTCTATTTAAAATATCTATTGAATATATGTAGATTATGTAGGGTACTGCAACTTTTTTTTACAAAAATATAACAGCCAATGAGATATTTTTGTTATTGAAACAAGTACATATTTTATTATAAATGAGCTAAAAACTCATTCAATATTATCGCTTAGTAACCAATTTAAAAAATGTTGTTTAATAATTGATTAATAACAAATAAATTAAGGAAATTTTGAATGCGGAACTAGCGGTACTGATAAACATCTAAATACATACTGAAAAATAAAACTGATGGGTAGCTTTACTAAAAACTAAGGGGTAGGCCTGCTACTCAAACGAATTATTTGTAGAAAAAAAATAAGCTCCACAACAAGGATGAATTCAATTGCTACTCATATGACGCAACTTAATTTAGATTCGAATATTCTCGTTTAGGTTTAAAATTAACGTTTAAGTTTGAGTTAAGAAGAAATTTTCGACTCATTTATTTCAATAAAATGAATTATCGATCAATTCAACTATATGTAAGCCATATATATAATATTTATAATATTTAAAATTTATCTTTTATTTCATTTAAGTAAGACGGGTACATGATTGGTATAGTTTGAAATGAACCTTATTTGTCGATCAATTATATATACAAATATATGTAAAATACCCCAAAGAGTTTCATGTGAAATTCGAGCTTTATTTGAACTTAGCAACAAATGTTTGAATGGGGTAGATGGGTAAGTAAATGACATTTAGAAACGACTTAGCTAATCAGTTGACTAAGTGCGGGAATTGCATGTCTTGGTTCGATAAGTCACAGCTCTAATGCACATTTCAAGTGCCCTCGAATCTTTAATTCTCTGACCACATGCCGAGAACTACAGCCTACTCCATGGTATGGCACGTTTCGCAGTTGGGAGCATTGGAAACATTAATTAAATTGCATGACAATGACGAGGAATGTTGCTGCACAGCATTCGCAATGCACTGAAAATGTCGTCAATTATTTCATAATTAATGCTATAGGCCGGCGGTTTCGCGGCTTGGCTGGCATATCTGTAGAAAGAAAGAAAATGTTGCTCTCTTCACTGTCGCTGTTGAAAAAGTGATACAACAAGGCTTTCATCGTCGAAATGGAAATGAAAATAAAAATGAAAACGGAAACGAAATGGGCATGACCGTGAGCTGTAAGGCAATTTCATTGGCACGCAACTTAATGAGATTTAAATGAATGAAATAAAGCACGCAAGATGAGCGGAGACCAGTTAAATAAGCAGTTTGATGTGGGCGGCTGAGCGTATGCGCGATGTCCAGTGACCAAAAACAAATAATGAAATAAAAGAGCAAAAAAAGGACGGTTATTCATGACAACGTAAAAGAGGAGCTGGGAAAAGCGCAACAAATAAAATGAATGCGAACAAAATGAAATTAATTACGCGCGCGTTTCCCATAAAGTTGAGCGCTTGAGTGCACTTAAAAATTCAATAAATCATTTCTGTACTGCCTGTTGGCACTTTTCGTCCGCTCGTATCTCTCGCATTTATCTCATATTTCAAATTAATAAACTTTCAGCATCACATTCAATAACAAAAATAAAAATTTACATATACAGAGATGGCTAAGCGCATTTGTGATCAAATCTAGGCAAGCCAAGTTGTTAACAAATCGACAAAAATAGGGAAGAGAAAAAAAAAAAAAATGTCAAGCAAGGGCCCAAAATCTGAGCACAAAGCGGCACGACGATAATTTTAGCGTGCTTTCCTTTATGTCTCGCTAGCCCACTTTGTCAACTCAATTTCCGCCAGAGCAGCTCTGGTAGAAGCAAAAACAACAAAAAAGCACTCTTTGGAAATGTCTAATCCAGCGTCTCTTAAAATACAACCCACACATATACACATAGAGAGAGAGAGAGAGAGAGACAGAGAGAGAGACTCACGTAGAGTCGCCGCTGTCAGACATAAAAAGAACGCTACAACTGCCGAGGAAATAAAAATCAAATTTAAAACGCTAAGAAAGTCGTCGAAGCCGCAGCTCCGAAAAGTATGCAACAAAAGACAAACGACCGGAAGCGGGTGAGCGCATAAAAACGGCAACAACATGTCTACCCGCCAGCCCAACACCCTCACCACAAACACCATAACCACCGTCACCGTCTCCGTCTCCGTCAGCAGCCCTGACATTCGGTGGTGCGTGTAATACGGCGATCTGGTCTGGGTGGTTGGTGGTTGGCCACCCGCATCGGGCGGGGGTCGCACAACTAAATGTCGCAGTTTTACGAGTCAATATAAAGGTGCCTGGGGAGTCATTTACAGGCGCGCAGCGGTTTGGATTCGTCTTGTAATAAAAACAACAGCAAGCGCCGAAAGACGGGAAAAAGACTGTTTTTACAGGCCCGGCGAAACATAGAAAAACACACTGCCACCCGATTTTTCCTTCTATTGCAACACAATTTGGGTTTCGCTCTAATACACATGTCTATAAAAAATTTGTAGACAAGAAACACGTGTATACACACACACACCCATACATACATACACACATTCGTACCAGGCAAAAAATAAAAGCACGCATAAAACAACGACACTCGCAAGGGTTGCCCAAAGTCAAATATGATGGCAATTTTTATTTGCCTTGTGAAATATTTTACCAATGAAGCATACAAATGAGCTAACGCCAACATTTACCTTCGAACGAGGGCCATTCACAACGGGCGTAAAAAATAAAAGCGCCCGAAACGGACAGAATATGAGCTTTTGCCTGTCGATTTAGGCCAAGAAGTGAGCCAAGAAGCTCGAGTGATTTACAACACAACGTGCAGTTTATGGCAAATTTACGAGAACTCTGCGTCGAGATATTAATTTAGTGGCAAACGCTGAGTAAAATATGAAATAAAGCACAGACAGGTAAGCAGAAAGTACATAAGCCAGTCTTAGTTGTTAGTAAAGAGCGAGCTCACAAGGCTTTCAAGTTTATCACAAACTACTCAAGGATATATATGAAGAACATAACATTCCATAAATATACGCGAGCATATGTTAAGTTAAATTGTCATACCATTTATACAAGACTGCTAAGCCTTTTGGGCCAAGGAACCGAACAATATTTTGTATGGTTTATAGGACAGTACTTAATTGCTTAAAACCCTGTACCCGAAAGGTACTTTGTGTACAAATACTATGACCCAGTTGGTTGGTTAAAACTTCCAAATTCTTTTTTTATTATAAAAAAGCTATTGCTTATTTTCAATGCATATTAAAGCATTTACTACTACAGTAACATTTAACATATAATTGATATCAAACGTCTATAAAATCTATAAAAATGTATCTGAATATTTTCGGATAATTATCTTTATTTATGTTTATAAGCAGGCCGGTAATAAATATAATTTAAATATAATTTAATCTGAGCAACTTTATTTATATACTGAATTAATTTTTTACGTTTCTAAAATGTTGACATTAATCATGTGAACACATTAATGAAAGTTATTGTTATAAGAACATAAAATTAATATAGAAAATCAAATATTTTGCCTAACCCCTGAAAAAAAAAGACATTAATCTCATATCTTCAATATTTAGTCAATTTTATATATATTTTAGTACTATACAATTTTTATATGTAAGTGTACTTTCCCCCGAAACCGCCCTTTAAATCAGAACTCCCAAGGAATGAAAAGAAAATCCAGAAACGATTGCTAACCGATAGGGATGCTGATACTTATGCTACTTATTTTGTTTAATTTAATAAAACAACAAATTGTGCTGTCGACACAGATAACTATAATTTGTTTTAGGTTATATAATAAAGATATAGAATAATATTTTGTTATAATTTCAGTTTTAAAAATAAGAAAGCCTCGAAAATAACTATGCAATAATGTCTATTAATGCCTTCGACACGTTGGCCAGCTATGCCCCGATTCACAGCCATATGTGGGCTGCGACATTATACAAGTAAACCTAACCAATTAAAAAATAATAATTTGTAGAGAAGAGCCTAAGAGCTATCTAGATGAAGTAAGAAGCAGAAAGAGGAAAATCTCCAATCCGGTGGGGAAGTATTTGATTGCCAAGCCGGCAAGCTATGTCCGATTTCCTTGGAGATAAGTATGAAGAACAGCTTTTATAGAATAGAGAGAAAGTTCTGTCGAAACTAAATGTGAAAGATCATTTTAATTAGAACAAATAACCCGAAAAATTAAAAATAAAGAAATAACAAAGATTACTGTCGGTGAACAATTTTGCAGCACGTCTCTAATTTTAGCAAATAGCAGAAAAACTCGAGCGTAGTCAATAGTAGTGTTCTGTATAATTCAGATTTTAATTATGAGTATTATCAGTAGCTTGACGTCTCTGGCATTTCCCCAGATAACGACTATAAGAGGTGGAAAGAAACAAAAAAAAATGACTACTTGTAAACAAAGAGAATGATTGCAGAAGCATCAAAATGTAATTTAATTATTTATTATATAGTACAGATTTTCAATTTATGCTGAACAATAGATAATAATTGGAAATACGTTCGAGCGCATTGTGTATTATTAGTGAAGATATTAGATACTTTTATACATTTTAGTTCAAATCAGACTGATTTAGGTGGTTAATATTATCAAAATAGATTGTTCATTCTTCATAAACGTAAACAGTTGGTAAGTTTATTATATTTTGCTGAAGTTTTAAAGTAGCTTTAAAGTAGTGTATTGAAGATGTAATATATATTTATTTATAGAAATCCATCTTTATTATTATTATTTAATATCGACTTAAGCGCTCTCTTCTGTTCAAACAATAATGAATTTGTATAGTAATGACGTTTATTTTTAAACAAAATTCTACCTATTCTAAAATGTTAAAAGTACATGATTATAGTATGTGACAAATTATTTCATTTAATGCACGATATGAACGTAACTTAATAGCAGCGCTGTGATTTTTAGAGACACTTTCGGGATTCAATAAATACGTACATAAACTTATTAGCTATATTGGCACCATTTGTTTTAAACAAAAACTAAAGTAAACGCCCAGAGAGACTAACTCAAGGCCACTTCATCGTTAAATGAGCTGAATTGTGAGTTGTACGCACATTGCATTTATTGCAATTACCATGGACGATAATGTTATCCCTTTTGATGGTAATTTTGGGAAAGCGAACAGTGCCCTGGCGAATTAAGCCTGAAAGGTGGTGGAAATTAGAAAAAGCGCAACACAATAGTTTTGAAAGCTCTCCACTTACGTTGTACGGGGTTTGCTCTGGAAACGGCGCATAGTGCCAGCATTAAGATGAACAGCGAGAACCACTTCATTGTTATTGCCGCTTTAACTTGTACTATAAATGTCTGTACCACTTGAACTTTGTAAGCAACTGTGTGGTGCTGCGCGCATTAACCGCACTTTTATACTTGTTCCCCAGCACAGCAGCTGAGCGTTATCAGAGAAGCAGAAAAAATCACCGCTCAGTGGAATATACTTTTATATATGTACTATATATACTCGTAGTATAAATTGATGATGAGCGGTAAATGCCCAGAGCTAGATATTCACAAAGCAATGCTTTAAAGCTTATTATAACTGGTTGATTACGTTTTCCCAAGTCATTAATGCTGTTTAGCTTTATTTAATTAATTAACTAACCACACGACTAATTTGTGGTTACTTCTAAAATGTAACTGGAGTATTTTAAAAACCCTCATAGACAAGACATTCTTAAAATTTCAGCTTTTTTCTCTATGTCTTAATTTATAACATCATTTGTTTTCATGATATTGCTTCTTCTTCTCAACATATACTTTTAAGAATTATTTATGCATATACTTTACAAATTATATATCTCCTAAAAAATTACTGTAGCCCAATCGATCTTTTACCAAGCGGTGACCGGCGATTCGAAACAGGTGTTGAAAGCCGCAGATATCGGCAGACAATCTGCCCGCCGTCAGTGATGCGAATATTGCTATTTCCCCGGCATATCTGGCTGTTTTTTAAATCCAATTAAGCAAAGAATTCGAAATTTTGGGATCGGGAATTTTGGCTTTTTTTTTTTAAATATTGCCAACATTAATGTTAAAATTATTTAGAAGTGACAGCTTTATCATTTCTTTTGATCGATATTTGCTAACGCCTTTATTATTTTAAACAAACCTGCTCTGTTTATCTCAAAAGTGCGCGTAAGTTGTAAAGCGAAAAGGCTGGAATGCTTGGCTAAGACGGGAAGAGTTTAAGGCCTGGATGCGCTGAGATGCACTATTAGAGCAAAACTCAGCGCTCCCAAAAAAAAGTACAAAAAATTACAATAGCTTTAGGCGAATTTCAGCAAAAAAAAAAAAAAAAAAAAAAAAAGTTCGTTCTGCTTGTAACGCCGAAGGAAAAGTAAACAAGGATATAAGATATTGTCTACAAAAACTCAGTCTATATTTAAATATATAAATGCTGCTGTTACAGTCAATGAGGTTCTGCAATATTTATAAGCTTTTTTTTCAATCTCCTTCCCCATAAAAAAAATTTGTTTGCCTTCTGCCCCGCGGACGCGCTCGTGGCGTGCTCGGGGCCTACTTCGAAAGACTGTTGAAAAGCAGCGTTAAAAATAATTTCCCCGTTTAACTAAACTTTATTTCTATGCACTTTATTAGTTTTCAATGGCCCAAAAATTCAACGATTAAATCATACACAAAATTTTGCATAGACTCGTGCTTAAATAGATCAGCATCAGCAAAGAAAGCTCTAAGAACAGAACGACTTTCTTAGATATTGCTAGAACAGCTGTTTCCTTTGGAGCTAGTGGGCTTATCGATAAGTGGTAATCGATTCGTTTTTGGCGCCACTAACCATATAACCAGCATATGGTTGGTGGTGGCACCAATCTCGTGATTTGAGCTATACAGTACAAAGTTTTTAAAGTCTGAATGGTTTACCGGTGCGCAGTTAAAATTAAAACATTTTGTATAAATCTCAGCTGCTATTGAGTAGAATATTATGTATTCAGCGCCTTTTATTACAAATAATTTAATAATAATAAAAATATCAAAGTTTGATTGTTACAACAAATATTATTTATTTTAGTTTTGTCAGCTCTTATTTCAATCAACTTTTATATATTTGTCTCACATGGAAATTTGAAAACTATGTTTTCCCCCATAATTATGTGTTTAATTGAAAATTTAACTAATAAATTAAACTCCAATATGGGCGTGTCCTCAGTTTTTATCGTCCTATGGTCAACGCTGTCGCATCCTTAGATGTCCGTATATCACAGGAAGTGCAATCGCCATTAATTGTAACATCACCATCGTCAACTATTATCTCCGGGCCGTTTGTGTAGATTGTATAGCGGCCTGAAATGCAAAGCGTTTTTTGTGAAATTTGAACCATTTCTCTCTATTCTTTATTCTCACACTTTACAATTAACGGCGTTTAGAAGCGCCAGCATCAAAACGAGTAAGAAGAACCACCGCGTTTGGCAATACATATTTGAATTTTAAGACAAATAAATGCTGAAAGCTGTGCAAGTTTTTCTTACTTTTATACGCTTTCTAGAATTCATGAGCTCAAGGTTATCAGCACGGAGAGAGATTGAATATATGGAATATATGGAAGTCTACCAAATGTTAGACTCTCTGCAGCCTGAAACACACCAGATGTATGTGTGGTATGTAAGATGTATTTATACATTTCATTTAAACAATAATTTTCTTTAAGCATTTAACTTAACCAAACCCATAATGCTTATAAGGTGGTAAACGCAAATTATACATACGAACATACGAAGAAATTAAAGCGAAATTGGATGCTCTTTATATGGACAACCTGAAATATGGGCTTAGCGATCTTAAGCGTGTCGTACAACTGTTTTTTTGATAAAGAAAGGCCAAGACACACATCGATCGCGATTACCAACAAAATCATCAAAAAGGTCCATGGCATGATTATCACTAATAGCCGAATGAAAGTCTGTGAAGTAATAACAATTTTAAATGATAAGTTAGGTGTACAAAAAATTGGTAGCCTGATGGATCACTTTAGCGAATGCGGCAGGACTTTTTACGTCGAGATATATACAATTATTACAAATTATTATACGCCAGAGACTAAGAGACTTTCAAAAGAATGCATTTTTCGGGAGAAACTGCAATCGAATAATGATAGAACCGAATTTTTTTTATTTATTTATTTATTAATTTTTTATAAGCCTTATTCTAGCGTTCAGGGGCGCATATTCCCATATAAAGTCGATAAGACGTTCATTATTATGACGCACTCTTTCGCCTTAAAATGGATCTGAGTTGGATTTGTTGAAGTTTTTTCATTGATCATATGCATAAGTTATTTTTTAAATGCATCGTGCATTATTTAATCAAAAGCTGCCTACGGCCTTGGTAGCGTTACAAGTGTTGGATTACTTTTAAATTACAATTTTAATTATATTGAGCTTATTATTAGGTTATTTTCTTATTATTAATTTTATTTTTAACATTATTATTAATCTTTATAATTAGGTCTGTTTTATCAGTTTTTTACTTAATCTATTTTGCCTACTAAAGTAAGTGTGTGATTAATTTCGTTTCGTCATTTTGGAGAGTTTAAAAAAACATATTATATCAAGCGATTAAATAAATGGCATTAACGTTGGGAAAAGCGTAAAAAGGCGGTAAAAAACAGATTAATTTTAAGAATGGAATAAAAAATGATTAAAAAAATGTATCTTCCTTTTTCAAACACGGGTACTTGTTGATCACGCCTCGTTGTTACTTTTTATCGTTACTTAAACTTAAACTTATTTGATTTGAATGAATTTCAAGGAGCATGATCACAAATAGAGATCAAATAAAACAGCCCATATCCATAATATTTTAATAACAATCCATCACTACGCGAACAAATATTTTTATTTTTCAACAAATACTCAACCTATACTAATTGGAAATTGAAAAGTATTCAAGAGTAGTGGAGTTTTGTTTTCCTCAGCAGCCTCTTAGCCCCTAATAATTAGCTGTGCCGAGTTGTCAGAGGTGCGTATATCGCAGTAGGGACAATCCCCATTAACTATAATGTCGCCGCCACTAATTATTATCTCTGGACCACCGGTGTAGATGCGAAAACGGCCTGCAATTCAATACGTTAAATTAATTAACATACTTTAATCATTGTTGGTTCATTGTACTCACGTTTTCGACAACCACACCGGCAGCAACCTCCATTGACAGCGGCGAGCAGGGCCAGCATCAAGACAACAAGTGAGAACCACTTCATTGTTAGATATGAGAATTTTTACTTGTACCCAGCGTAGATGCTTCTGAGACAGCGACGATATTTGGAGCTTCTTTTATATGCTTTTTTATTCAAAATTGTCGCATGAACGAGCAGCTTCATGAATACGGCTGTCAAACATATAAATTTATAATTGTCGTGTGGCAATTCCCAATTATGAAGCTTAAGCAGATTGGCTTCATTCTAGAGTGCTATCGAGCCAAAAACAATCCATTAATACATTGAAAATCCGGTCCAGTATGTCCTTCTATGGGTAAGCTAGCTTCAGATTCTTCTTGCTGGACGAGTAACAAAAAAGTATTTAGCATGCTCAGCAATTGGACTTCTGTTGATCTGGAAAAACTTTCACACCGAGCTATTTATGTTTGTTATTTGTTATGTCCAATATAAAAGTAGATTTTGGGACCCCTGAAGAAGCCTTTACCTGGTAACTGTTGATCTCCAGTTTTGCAGACATAGTTCTCTAGCTTCTCTAACAGCCTAAGAACCCAGATTGTGCTCCAATTTTTCTTTGCCGATTCGATTTAAATTTTTCTTAAATGAAACTTTTAATCGTCTGTTCCGTGGTTTTAGTTGCGATTAGTATATCGTCGATCGACAACAATATCGCATTCATAAACTCATAAAAAAATACACGTAAATTGAAATATTTTTACCATCGATCATTCCCCACAGAGTGATTTAAATAATATAAAGTGTACACACTAAAATTTTAAGTTTAAAGTATGTATTAAAATGTGACGATATTTAATCACAAGTGATGAGCTGACTTGGGTTTCATTCACGCCAAAGGATTATTTTTTATAATTATAAAATATTTTTCCCACTTTTTTCCTACTCTTATTAACAACAATTGTTTTTTATAATGATATTATATTAATTTTATAGAACACAATTTTATTAGAAAGTAATTTTTTGTTTATCTCTATTTTACATTTGAAAATATTCGAATAAACTATTAAAAATATTAAAATGTAATATATTTCTAATATATTTGAATCGAATGCAAAAAACTTCAAATTAATGTTGAGAAAAACATTAAAATTATAATTGATTATTATATTACTATAGAATATAGTACAAGTATATTTAATTATTCGTTTTTTGAAGTGGGTGCATATTGAAATTAAATATGGTTCAACAATAAATTGAACATGACATGCAATAATGAATATGATTTTTAAATAAAATCACGTTGTTCGTACGAAATACGAAATATTTATATATTAAATTGATTATGAAAATATTATATTTGCTATGGAATTTATTTTTGAGTGTAGCAATCCGAAAAATTTTCTGCAGGAATTCCATTTTTAGAAACATTTTAACCAAAACACCCGCGCGATTTTAGTGCCATATTTTTGAGTCTAATTGTACACAGTAATCTATATTCTTTATCAGTTTGATGAGAGGAGTTGATATAGCGACGATCTGCTCACACCAGACGTCTACAACATTGTAAAACGTCTAACTTTTGAATTGAGTACAGAATTAATTTTGAAAGAAAACACTAACAGTCATATCCTTATAGCCGACTGATCGTGATTAGTGAGCTATAAAGGATTATTGCAGAGCACCGATGGTGCTTTGAGTTCTAGAGTTCTAGAGTTCTGAGTTCTAGAAGGAACACAACAAATAATGATTAGACTCATCCCAAAAGTTACAATTTTAACTAAATGTTGAAGTGCAATTTCAATTGTTTTATGTTTATTTCAAATCACGAGCTTTTCTTGCAAATATCAGTCATTTCTGGTACGTAGATGCTTAAATTTTGTGGCTTCCTAGTCATCACCACCGCTAATGCTGCAGCCGGCACAGTCCGAGTTGTGGACGTAGGTGCCACCAGGAACCCGACCGCTGAAGCCCTCGGGTATTTGGATTGGGGGAGGACCACCGGCCCTTGGTGGCGGCAAATTATTCGAATAGCCATCGGGGGAGCCTATGATTACCGTGCCAGCGCCGGGTCTGCCCTTGTACACTTGACCGCCAACAACCAGAGTCTCAGCATCCGGTGGGGAGCCTGCGAGGCAAGACAAGGAATGTAATTAGTTATAAGTAGTTCCAAGGAGAGAATTAGATTTTACAGAAACTTACAATCCCGACACGCGCCATTGATGACCACTCTGCCGGCTAAATACGAGTTTATGATTGATGGGATGGAGAAGAATAATGTTAACATTCCTGTAAGGATTTTATTGCTTGGCACACGGCTTACCCATCGCCACGGCTACAATGATGGAAAGTAAAACAAGGGACAGCCACTTCATTGTCAATATGCGGTCTCTTCGATTCTGATAGGGCAGCCGGCTGAGGCGTAGCTTTTTATAGCTCGCTGCCTACTCGAATGTTTTGTTATTGTTGCGCTTCTCAATGTAAACAATCGTTTGTGGCGTAGAAACCTGCTCAGTGGCGCGCTCCCGAGCTCTGTGGGAAAACCACAGCTGAGAGATGTGGCATTGCACCACACGTGCTTCGAGAGCGCGCCACTGCAGCCGGTCGGGCTCAACTGATCGACGCTTGTGGTTCTAATTGAACAGAACTTGTTTATTGCTAATTCCGTAGAATTGATTCTTGTTTCTGAAAGCGGCCGCCTTCTCAAGGTCAACCACAATTGCAATTGTTTACAACCACTTACTACTATTGCGTTGTACTGGGAGAGTAGGCTTAGTTAGACTCGGGCAGGGCAATAACTTTTATTCACGCATTTGGCACCTGATATTGATATTATTGTATGCACAGATAGTATTTACATTTCTCATTAGCTTAGCCTAGCCCCGTATGTTGCAGTTTCTGCAGTCATCGTTGTGCACTATGGTGCCGGGAAAACCGGAGGCATCGATTCTCCGACCACCCGATTGGTAAATCTGCCGCTTATGTCTATGGCCGCCGCCACTTATCTGCTGCGATACACCACCGCCAACTTGTTTCACATTGAAATTGTGTAATTCTTTGGCCCAAGCATCAATCTCGTCATCACGTGCTGGCGTCTTACGTCCCCCATTGCCACCAATCTTGGTTGGAGTTGGACGTCCACTTGAGCCGCTTTTCTTCGTGGTCCTCGGCCGAGTAGCTGGCGGTTGGGTTGGCTCATTACAATCAATACACTTGCCGTTGATGGTCACCTTTCCAGCTGCAAATAAATCAAATAATGGGGTACTACTTGTATAACAGTATCCGGACTTCGGTTCCACTTACCACTGGCATAGGCAAACACCGCCAGAATTACTAACAACGCTATACACTTCATTTCAAATATTAGAATGTATCTCTTGTTTGACTGATCGACGCGAAGATTCTTATATAGCGGGCAAAATTGAGATTGCAACTAATTCTATATTCACAAACAAAGACCTTCTCTGGCCGTTATCAGAGGCTTTCAATCAAAAACAAAATACAAGTCGAACATCTTGAAAGCTAGAGACGCGTGTTCCCAACTCGTATATACTCTCTACCCAGTTCGACAAACAATGCTTTTATAATTGAGTATAATTTTAAGAAATTTGTATATTTTGATGTGAAATTAATTTATTTAAAAAAAGAATAAGAAGAGAATAAGCAAGAATTTCTCTTTCTATTAGTCTGACAGGACAAACAGGCAAATATTTTGCACACAAACTCGTCAATCTTTATATTATTGTATTTCATCTTCAATAACTGACGCTTCACGATAGAACGTCTCTAGTGGGGAATAGATTAAAAAACAAACATAAACTCTTTATTTCTTAAAGTTGGGAGAACCTGCGTACCAAGTTCGGTGGCTATAGCTGATATACTCTTCGAAATGTTTGCGTTCATACAGACAAACAGACATGTCCATTGATATGCGCTTTTTTGGATTGTTGAAAACAGTGAACGATTCATAACACGCATTTACCCTTAGCGTACAGAGTATACACATATACATACACACTATATTCATAAGTATGTATATATATTCTATTCTATATACTCACTATATTCCATACACATAGTATGTAGATAGGTTCATAGTATTGGAAATTCCAATCAGTGCAATTTAAAGATTCCATATATTTTAATTGACAGCTTTTAGACAAAGTTGAACCTAGATTGCGCAAACAGAAATACATACTATAAGACACCCTCGGCTTTCAAAGTTCTGCGTCCATATATAGACATACGTAAATAAATAAAAAGAAGGAACAATTTTTGCAATGCTCTGAATTCCCCACTTAACTTTTCTTTTCCCTATTATCTGCTATTAGCAAACGTGTCCCCATATCGTTTTAATACAATCTTATATCTTTTAGGAATTAACTACTAAGTATAGAAGGAGTTTATGTGAGATTCTATGCTGTCGAAAAGAAGTTACCCTTCCACGATTACCGAATACCTGATACCCATTTGACTATTGATTCCCAAAAGTTTTTATATTATTAAATTTTTTCGAATGATGAAATAAGTTGATATATCCATGTCCATCTGAATGCTAGCATTCAGAAATATTTATAGTATTTCTAAACTCTTATTCAAATTTCTTCCAATCAATCTTACAACTTATTGGCTTATTGTATCTAAGCAAATATTTGAAGTTCCCGATATTATAAAAATGCCATTAAAATCGGTACACTATATCATATAGAAATATGTATTTTTAAAAGCTTATTTATGCTTCTTTCAATAAATCTTACTCGAACAACTTATCGGCTTACAAATTTATCTAAGCAAATTTTGTTATTTGAAGTTTTTAATAGTGTCCCGATATTATATATAATTTCATTAAAATCGGTACACTATATCATATAGCTGTTAAAGTTTTTGAGCAGGTGTCTTAATAAAATATGGTATTTACCAAGTTTTTAAACTGTCTCACCATATTCTAAAGTTACACTATTATTCTACTATATACTGCCTATCAAAATCTTTAATGGTTAGTTTTCAGTTTTCATTCTCATATTAATTCCTTCGTTTAAGTTTCTCGGGAGTTTCCCGTTCGACATATTAAACATTTAAACAACTCATATTTATTCCAAAACCGTTTTATTGCGCACATTACTTAGGCTCTGTCCATCCTCACAGATAAGAATGCAAAATTCCAACCTACTGATGCAATGCCACTGGGAATTACCCGAGTACGTATGTACGCCTTTGAATGAAGTAGATTAAACGTATTGCCACCGCCTATGCTGATCTTTAAAAATAAGTTGACTTGGGAATTTACGTTTGCTGCTTATCAAGTGTCTATGAGAGAGGGTACTGAGAGATTTTCACACCTACATTGTGTTGGTTGTTATCACGAAGCTTTCATATAACAAACTGCACCCAAGAGCAATCGTATAAAATACTGGAACTGGTAGAACAACAGCATCAGTTCAACGCAAACTACCACACAGTAAACAATATGCAGTTCCTCAAAGTTGTCGCCATCTTCGTGTTCGGTCTCTTGGCTCTGGCCAGTGGTAAGTAATACCAGAAGCTTACAAATGTAGCAATGCTCTTTAACTTATCAAATTCCATAGCTTCCCCTGTGGCCGATCCTGGAAATGTGGTCATTAATGGAGACTGCAAGTGGTGCAATGTGCGAGCATAAATATTCAACCATGGAGCTCACCTCTACACATCGCAGCCAGCAAATAATTATGATAGCTTTTAATAAAATGACTTAAATTATAATAATAAAATTCCAAAAACAATTTATTTATAACATATACTTACGGTGTATTTAATTTGTATATTTTCTATAAATATGCACTAATTAGACGCTTCATACGAAGTAATTCAGATTCAGTTCATTCACCGCTTCATTGCACAATTAATAAAACAAGCAAACAAAGCTAATATCTGTGGCAATTATGGGAATCTACGCTACAGTTTGCCTCAACTGAGCAAGTAGAACAATATAAATGACTGAGTTCGAAAAAGATTTTCCTCCTACAAGCTCCTGCTCCTTCATTCTATTTGCTTATAACTACACTCTTTGATTCAAATTCTATTAAAACCATTAACCGTAATCATACATAATTACTTTACATTAACAATTGAATTATTAAAGCACTCAAAAGTATAGTAGGTAGAAGGAAATATTTTTAAATAAGTAGTATCTGATTAATTGAAAATCAAATCATTATGTTTTTGACTAGTTTGTTAACTTAACAACGTCATCAATATACTGATTATATTTACATACGCATTCATCTTTCAAAAGACGCAAATAGTTTGTAAACATTTTTTTGCGAGTCATCTTATAAAATTTAAATTTAATAAAATGTATTTGAATTTTATTTGAATTTACAAACACACACCCTGAACTCAGAAAAATAAATATTTTATATTTATATTAGTAAAGTATTATAAATATTATCATATTTATGAAACTGAAACAGATTTAGAAACGTTATTTTTAAGAATAAGCACAAATTGAAAGTACTGATCGATTTAATTGTAACATGTCGTGAATTTGGACAAATTCGTTGCGGGATATACTCTATTGAATGGCGAAAAGAGGTCTTTCATATACATGCATGTTAATAAAAAGATAAAAGCACTACCATTTGCCCATATACGAGTACATTTGTAATTTCCCCGTACCAGAAAAATTAACCACAAATACGAGTAGTAAACATATTTACTAGTGTGTGAATATAGTATACGGCACCATGCTGTGTAGAGAAGAAAATCCGAGGCTGCTAGTATACATATATACGTATAATTAATATTCATTCAACAAAACACACATATACTCGTAAATGTTTTTAATCATCATTATTACATGCACATGTATGTATATAAAATATATGATGGATATTATTATTACTTACTTATCATACTGTATTATACATACAAGTACATATAATATGTATATACTCGTGCTGTGCTAATCAAACTATGAATTGGCTGGGTATGGGTCGGCTTTTTCGGCCCAATACAACTTGGCCACGATATGGAGCATTAAAATCCCACTACGAAAATTGTTGGTAGCTCAACCCAACAGGAACATACTTGTACTAGAATAAAGAAAATAAAATTTTGAAAAGAAATTATTTTATATTTTAGTAGCTTGAATTAACCTATCCAATTTTTAATTCTTGGCTTTTAAATAATATAATTAAGTTAAATTTAAGTTATCTCTAAAGTGTTGTTTAACCAAGTCGATATTCTATATACTATAGTTTGGAAAGTATAGCGAGCTTAAGTTGTTCATGGTATCAGAAAAAATTGGACTAACCTTAATAATTTAATATTTACTAGTTTTATTTAATTAAATATTGATATTTACTTGCTTACTTGAACTTCGACAAGCGTTTGCATGCAAATTATTTTTCGAAAAGGTTTTACTTTTGGGAAAAAGAAGACAAAATTACAAAATTATCGTGTCTGATCTCATGAAATGAACTTATAAATATATCTGTTAAACTTACAGTATATTCAGCCTTCAGTCTTTGATACTTATTTGAAAGATTGTTTGATTGTCATTAATAAATAACTAATAAACGAAAAATAAGCTATTTATTTGGCTCTTTGAATTAATTTTAATAATTAGCATTTCGCTGTCAATAATACAAATCAAACGAAGTTAGGAATGGGAATTAAAACGAGTTTGGTTAAATTAATAAACAATTAGCTACTCTTTCAATACAATGGCCACACACGAGGCTGCATTTCTGGGAACTGCCGTTAAAAATCGTTTTAAAAATGCAATTTATATTTTTCTTGAATATTTAAAATGATAATTATTTTTAAGATATTTCTTACTTTGTGAACTTAAGGGACAAAACCTCCCCGCTTTTTTAACAAACTGCATTATTTTTGTAGAATTTACTGAATCCAATACTAAAATATTAAAATCGTGGAAATTCAAACTCACCTTTTTTTCTAACTACAGATTTTTAACTAAAATCCATTTCATGTACAAATCATTCCTATGGCAGCTATATGATACAGGAAATGATAACTATGAAGAGACAATTTAAAAAACTCATTAATAAAATAAAAAAGTTTTGGGTATTAAACTTAATTTCTTCATCTATCGTATTTATGGAAGTAGTATATATATATAGTCCGGCGGTTTTGATGAAATTTTCAAATGTCTTGAGTTATAAAGCCAGAGTCTTGCTAAAAGTAATTTTGCCGCCAAGGGCAGCTAACTATATATGTACACATATACGAAAAATTGGTCTTCTTGTTCGTAATACTAGGTTTGGTGCCTCTAGCTTTTATGGCTTTGAAGTGCCAAAAATAAAAACTATAACCGCTTTATAGTGGGATATTTCCTGAAAAGACGTTTTTAAACCCAGTTCAATCAAATGCAACTATGAAAACAGCTTGACTTGGGAATTTATTGAATAGATTATATATTCGCTGAAAAGGGAAGGGCTCAGTAGGAGTAAAGTAAAAGACAATAGTCGCGGACCGCCGTGCGTCTGTTCGCTTTAGAGTTTTATTGGAGACTGACACTTTTGCTATACATATTCTTTATGCTTACATTCGTATGCAACAGTGACAGATAACTTGTAGATAACATAAGATTATTATCTGCTTATATTAACATGCGTGCATTGGTACTTATGTTTGTATTGATTTTCAACACCCTTCCTCAATGCAAACATGTTTTACAAAAATTTTCAAATCAAATTTAACAGCTTTGTAAAATGAACATGCTTCGCTTTAGGGAGATTTTTCGTTAAAATATCAGCTATCATTTCATTGGTTGATGTATACTGTAAAACAATTTGTTCTTCGTTTACAACCTGTCTTGCAAAATGATATCTAATATCAATATGCTTTGTTCTTTCATGGTGTACAGGATTCTTAGCTAATTGTTGAGCACTTAAATTATCGCCATGAAGAATAGTTGGAGTACTCGAGTCACCGCAGCCAATCTCCACTATAAGACGCCGTAGGTATATGGCCTCCTTACACGCAGTTGAAAGAGCCATATACTCCGCCTCCGTGCTGCTAAGTGCCACGCTGCGTTGCTTTTCAGATCGCCAGGATATGGGTCCTCCAGCCAAGTAGTATACATAGCCAGTATACGACTTGCGATCGATGCGGTCGCCACCCCAGTCTGCATCCACATAGCCGGTAAGGGGTTGTCCACACTCTTTGTAGTGCAACTTCAGGTCCACAGTTGACGCCAGGTATCGAAGCACATGTTTTACACCCACTAGGTGCTCTGCATGCGGATCTTGATTCCGTTGAGCTAACTTGGCAACGGAATGCAATATGTCTGGCCTTGTTGTAAGCGCCAGCCACATTAACTCGCCAATTGAAGACTGGTAGGATGCAATGTCAACCTTTTGACAATGCTCGCTGGTACATATCACTTGGAAACCAGCATCCAGTGGGGTCGCTGTAGGTCTACAGGTCTCGCATCCATGTTCACGCAATATGTCTTTGATGTATTGCGAATTGCTTAGCGAAATTTCGCCAAGCTCACCGTCGCGCTGCACTTCCATGCCAAGGAACAAATGCAGCTCTCCCTTGTCAACACATTCAAACGATGTTGTAATGGCTGACTTGATGTTGGCCAAGTCCTCTTTTGATCGGCATGCTATAATTATATCATCAACATAAACAAGGATTAATGATAAGTCACCTCTTCCGTTCCTTTTGTAAAGACACGGTTCATTTTCACATGCTACAAAATCTATGCCTTGTAGTACACAATCGAGCTTGGAGTTCCACTCGCGCCCCGACTGCTTCAATCCATATATTGCCTTTTTAAGCAATAAAGCCTTACTTGGATTATTGGGATCTGTGTATCCCTGTGGCTGCTTCATATAAACAGTTTCATGCAGGTCGCTATTCAAATAGGCGGTACACACATCTATCTGGTGAAGGTACAGCTTCAATTCCGCTGCTAACGCCAAAATAAACCGCACGGTTTCCAATCTGCAAACGGGTGAGAACGTCTCTACATAGTTCACGCCATACTTCTGGGAGCACCCTTTAGCAACGAGTCGTGCCTTGAAACGTTCGACTTTTCCATCAGAGTCACGTTTCAGGCTGTATACCCACTTGCAACCAACTGCTCGCTGATCTTTTGGTAAATCAGCCATCTGCCAGGTTTCGTTTGATTGTAGTGCCTGATATTCCTTTTGCATCGCCTCTTGCCAGAATACTGCATGTGTGCTACCAACGGCCTGATCATAGGATGTCGGAACCATTACGTCACTAGCAACCAATGCTCCAAGCACATTGTATTGCTTTCTTGGACGACCAGGTTTACCATTTCGAACAATTTTAGGCCGGCCTGGCCCAATCTTCACAGTATCCTCGTCAGAGTCTTCTTTTTCGACTGCACTCTCATATGCGTTGGAGCTGCTGTCGTCAGAACTGTGCTCACTGTCATCGTCGTCGATGCTTCTGTCACCATCCGTGTGAGTGACATGCTCTTGAACCTCGCATGCAGGAAAATCTACCGTAACGGTATCTTCATTGGTATGACCACCACAACGCTCATCAAATAGAATGTCTCGTTTTTCGACAATCGTCCTCGTCTCTGGGTCGTATAACCGATAGCCTTTGGCTGCTACCGAATACCCAACCATACGGTACTCATGCCCTTTGGGTTTGAATTTGCCTTTACGGGGACCCTTTGCAAGTGCAACTGCAATGGAACCAAAAACTTTTAGATGGCTAATACAGGGTTTCTTACCTGTCCACGCTTCCATTGGAGTCAGGTTGTTCAGTGCACTGGTAGGTGATC